ATTTTTAAAATCCAGACTTCTTTCCTGTCACCATGCCCCTGGACTCTGCATAACCTCATTAGGCAATAATGCCAAAGGTCTAGATCTGAGGACTTTGACGAATGTGAGGTCCGGACCAAATGTCCCTTCTGTCCCTGCCTGTGACAGTTACTGCCTACTACCAGCAGGTGACCTTGGGCAGGCTGCTCAGTACCTCCTGGCATCAGAGGTACCCAGCTCATAGTGTGGTTTTGGAGAATTCCATGAAGTAGCCCACACAGATCATTTGGCTCAGTGCTTGGCATTAGTAAATGCTCAATAAATATTAGCTAGAGTTAGTCACTATTATTAGAGTTAAGACTCAATGCCTTGGCCAAAGTTTATTTAATTGGTTTATGTGGGTCAGTGCCACACCCTGTGAGTACTCATTCTTTGTCCATTCATTCAACACATATATACTGAGTGCCTAATTTTAGTTAAATTTTTTTCGTTTGTTTTATAACTATCACTTCTGTATTAGAAAACTAGCAATAATCAGGAAAAAAGTCACCCATGATCCCACTTTTCACAGGACACCAATATTAGGTAAATTTAATATATTTTCTTCTAACGTTTTTTTTCTATGAAACTTCCCCCTCCCATTTTTAACTCAGTTGAGGTTCTAGCACACATTCATTTCTAAATCTCATGCTTTTCTTTTTAATAAGTTAACATAATATTTTCCTGATTTCATTAAAACTTCTTCATACATATAATTTTTAATGGTTGCATAAAATTCTAACTATGAATGTACTATCTCCTAATTAGTTTCCTATTGTTGGACTTTTCTTTCTATTAATAAGTAAAACTGAGATGAACACGTTTGTATTAATCTTAGTCTATGTTTTCATTCATTTCCATTTCATTCCTCCCATTAACAATGATTTTTGAGTGCCTGCTCTGGGTCAGGTTGCTGTGCTATATACTGGGGATCGAAAGGATAGAGCTGGGACAGGTGTGGACTTTGCTTTCTCAGGCAGAGCCCATTTCCTAAGGGTGTGACAGATGAATGGGGTGGGAGGAACCTTGTACTTGCAGCTGGTGGTGAGTGTTACCAATGAAAGAAGTAGGGTGTGTAGCAGAGTCCCTGGAAAGGGTACTGGCCAGCTTTCTTGGGCTGGGAGGTCAGGGAAAACCTCTTAGAAGAATTAAGATGGGCCATGGAAAGCTGCCAGGAGCAGGGTGAGAAAGGGTTGGCACACACACAACCCTGAGAGTGAGTGCCTCCTTGAATTTGGCACCATAAGGACTTCACTCACTTTCACCCAGTCAAAATTAATGACAAAGACTTCAACCTGGACAGGAATTGGGAGGTCTAGGAGGAGGAGCTCACACACCCGTTTCAAAAGCACTACAGGAAGAACTCTTTGGTTGTAACAGCACTGCCTCCGGCAACTTCCTCTTCCCCTCTACTAAAGAACTTCCTCTCCTTTGGTTTCCCAGGACTTGACTATGGCTTGCTAGAGCTAAGCATGCTGGATTGTAATCTACTACATGCCTTACCCCCTGAAAAAATCCTTTTTTGCTGAAGGAATATCTTGGCTGACTTTTTGTTGGCCGTCAACACAACTCTGATGGGAAAAATGTAGGAAAGGCATTGTAGGCAGAGGGAACAGCAAGTGCTAAAGCCCAGAGGCTCTGGCTTGGTGTGTTTCAGGAACAGAAAAGTGGTCCCTATGGAGTGGAGTAGAGAAGTGCTAATGGAACCAGTGAAGCAGAACCACCAAAAGAAATGAAAAAAAAATTTTTTTTAAGTTTTGAGACTTGACCATATTTGATATATACATTTCAAAGTATACAAGTAATTGCCATGGGAAAAACTGGGCTTTCAACTATTATTTTTTACTCAATGGTTTGGAATTGTCTTTGTAACCCACACTTGCTGGGATTTGAGGTTGGAGGAGGCACGGATATCACTTTCAGTGCTTAGGGACTTGAAAGTGGTGTTTCTAAACCTTGAGTAGAATCCCCTGTGGAAGTCTTAAAAAATACTGATGCCTGGGCCCACCCAGTGGTCTGGGGTGCAGCCTAGGCATAGTGAAGATAAAATTGAAACCCACCTTTAGGATCCTGATCCTGCTGTGGAATATTTGCAATGTAAAAGGAACCAGCTTTTATAGGCTCTTGTAGGCTCTTAGTGGTGACAAGTCTGAATTTTACTCTAAGAAGAATGGAAAGCCATTGATGGGTTTAAAGTAGGATGGTAACATCTGATTTTTATTTTAAGAAAATCACTTTGGCTGCAGTGTGGCAAATTTTCTTAGGGTAGATTCCCAGAAGTGGAATTACTGGGGGAAAGGGTATTAACAATTTTAAGTCTTTGGATGCACACTGTTAAATTGCTTTCCAGGAAGTTGTGCCAAATGACACCTATCTTTGGTGTCCTTACACCACCCCTTTGCCAACACTGAGTGTTTTTAATGATTTCTGTGGGAGAAGTACAAAAAGCAATGATAAATAAGAAGCAATTGTTTGAGCAACCTGCCAGTAACTTTTTTTTCTCCTTCATTGGTCAAATATCCAAATAACCATGTGTTTCACAGAAGTTGTAGATCTGATATTTAGCTATCATTTATTGATTGCTTATTGTGTGGCAGGCACTGTGCAAAGAACTTTACAATCTCTATTAATTCTTAAGGGATCGGCACTACTGTTACCATCTCCATTTTACAGATGAAAAACTGGGGCACTGTGAGAGTCAGGAGGTTGCTGACACTCCCTCAGTTTTTAAGTGAAGGACTCGGAATTTGAACCCAGTTCAAATTCCTCAAATTACTCTGCTGTTGTTTTATAATTTGGAAAGGTTAGAAGACTCCTGGAATTTTTCTCAGGGGTCTAAGGTTCTAGTTATTCGGCTGCAAATCATTTTAGAACATGAGTAATTGACATAATTTGTTCACTGTATCATTATTGCAATCAACTGTTTAAGGAAGTAACAAGCTTTATCGGCCACATCAACCATTTGCTCATGGGTCTGAGCAAAGAGGAGGGAAGCATCAACTCACCTGGTGCATACAAAGTAAAGGATCTGAGGAAAACAGGTCCAAGGACATTTGGAATTCAAAATTAAGAAGAGGCTTTGGGAGAGGGCGACATTGTAGTTAGAATGCAAGACAGGCTTGCAGGGTGGTGGAGAGAGGGCAAACCTAAATATTTCAGTCATTTCTTATAATAAATCTATTCTTTCTGACCCTTACTTCCAGAGTTCTTTGAGGACACGGATTAAGTCTTGACCACTGTCCATGTTCCCAACTACTTGGTTAACAGATGCTCAATAAATTTTGCTGAATGTTGAATGAAAGAATAAATCATGACTAGGCTGTACATTTAAACCATACATGAGGATAATGTATTCCTTATTGCTTATGTAATGAAACATTAACCACAAACATACAAAACCCAAATACCTTGTGGCAGGAATAACAGTCTCCCAGAGAGGACCACACTAATGAGGAGACCCTAATCTTGGGACTTGATTCAAGAGGGACTTTTTCTCTTCATAGAAGAACAGGGAAGAGGAAATAATAAATCAAGAAGAAAGGATACCTCTTGTATGACATTTTTTACAACTAATAGGACCCTTCTTCATATCCTCCCCTTAGCAAAAGGCAGTGGGCAAATGTGGAGGCAGGAGGGCAAATTTTAGGATGGAGTTGTACCTGTGGAACATATCCCTCTTAACTTGGGTGTATTATTACATTATTTTTTTACACATGTGGATGACGATGCTTGGGTCAGACCTAGGGGGAATTTCTGCATTGAGTCAGATATCAGCTCCAGTTCAGAGCAGGAGTTTCTTTTCCCCTGAATGGGGAGATGGGTGTGGGGAGAGAGGGCTCCTTTGAAAATCTAACTTTCCATCCTTTAGAATCGGCAGAATCATAGTTTAGTGAGGGGTTTGGGGGATAAGCAAGTTGAAATGTGGAGATACCAACATTTCATAATCTTCAAGTGCTTTTGGTAATAATTTTAAATTACACAAAGACTTTTCCTTGCAGCATAAAACAATAGATTAAGATGCTCTGGACAGATAAGGTTAAGACCCTTTGACTATTCTTCCAAAGGTAACTCCTCAGTTACCTGTTTGATGTGAATCTTTTTTTTTTTTTTTAAATCCTATATGAGCGTTTATTCCAATACTGCTGGCAGTATGGGAGAGCAGCAGGTCATCCACAAAAATCTGCCCTACAGCCCCCCATAAGCCAGCTGCTTATATAGGTTAAGACAAAGATTACATGGGGAAGTAAGGATTGACGTGAATCTTATCCACCTTTACTCTCTGAATCTGCAACCACATTAGGTGCTTTAGTAAAGAAAGTCTTTAGGGGAGACTGTGGGAGGGGTTGCGGAGGGAGAGTTTGACCCTCTTTAGCCAAACCCTTTCTGGTGGCGGAGGTGGGCAAGTGCTAGGGTGAGAGGATGTCAAAGCACAGTTCATGTTGTGAGGACAGGGGTTGGTGGTTGCTCCCCTTTCTCCCTCCATTTAGTTTAGTGCTTACCAATGTGAAGAAATGGTCAAGGTGTCAGGCCTCCAGGGCACACTTCAGGTGGGGGTTGGCTAGGTGGATCTCCACGCCCTTTCTTTTTTATTATTTTTACTTTTCACTGGACAGGGTGGGGAAGGTGAGCGCGCGCGGGCACCCCAGGTCTCGGAGTGGATGCCTGTTGACCGCTGACAGTGGGGCTCTCGAGGGTCAGGTGCCTTCCGGGGCGTGCTGGGAGGGGGTGCGTGCAGGGGTGGCAGACATGCCCTCTCCCAGGAGCCCAAGCTGCGGGCCCAGGGACCTTGGCGAGGTTCGCGGGGAGTGGAGGCGTGCCCCGGGCGCGGGAGGGCGGCCCTCTAGCCACGCCCACCAGGCCCCGCCCCGCCCTCCAGGCCCCGCCCCTGTGCCCTGGCTGGGCGGGCGCCCGCCCCGCCTCCCGCTCCCAGCATGCCGTGCGGCAGCGGCGGGCGGAGTCGGGAGGCGGGGAAGCTGTGCCTGTGTGTGAGCGTGAGGAGCTGCCGCCACCGCCTCCTCCTCGCCGTCCTCCTCCTCCTCTTGGGTCCCGGCGTCGCGGGCCGCGCGCGGGCCTGGAAGAGACGTCGCCTCCCCTTCCTCCGCCTCCCGCTCGCCGCGCCGCTCCCTCCTCCTCCTACTGCGCTGTGGGCTCAGGCGGAACCCGGAACGGCCGTCTGCCTCCCCCGCCCTCCGCCGCCTCCTCCTCCCCGGCTTCCTCCTCATCCCCGGGCCGGAGCAGAGTCTCGGCAGCGATCAGTTCGGGCGGCGACTGGCGCTTCTTCGGGCGGCGGCGCCTGGCCATGTCGTGTCGGGGAAGGTAATGAGCCGCAGAGCCCCAGGGTCTCGGCTGAGCAGCGGCGGCGGCAACCATGTACCCGCGGAGCTGGAATGACTGGCAACCCAGG